ACGCACCATAGTTAGAGATGCTAAAACTGATGTCCATCTGAGAGAATGGCTTATACTGTGTGGTAATCAAATTGATACTTTAATTCTGACTGAATTGCGTTTAATCAACGTATAGACTTTATGAAAAATCGGTGACGTAATGTTTATATGTGATTCTGTAAGACAGTTGTAGTTTCGCATAACACTATGTATAAATAAATGTCATCTAAATTTTTTTCTATTGATAATTGTAACATGAATATGAATACATTCAAATGAAAATTTTCTCGCCTAATTTTTTGTAGGGTACCGCTTTGGGTATGTGTCCGAAAGATAAGCTTTTCCGCGGTTACATCGAATTGGAGATCCAGTTGAGAGAATTTGATAGATGTCGTAAATTATATGAAAAATTCCTGGAATTTTCTCCGGAAAACTGTACTACATGGATGAGGGTATGTCATTCCACTTTTATGCTGCTCTATTCTGTACCACTTATTTGAATTTTTCCTAATTGATATATCATGTATGATGTGTGAAATCCCTAGTGATTTATTTTAAAGTAGAAAAATGATGTTTTTTCAAAAGGAGGTAAATATTAAACATGTCTTTGACCTTTTATTGAATGTAAATGCTTCTACGTTAGTGATACTTGTTATGCATTATAGAATATTTCGAGGTGAAAAAACAATCAGAATTATTGACGTGGATTCTATTAAGGATAACTGATTGGTGTGTTTGTATGCTGGAAGTTTTAGTTTCCGTTTGCAACAATAATTGTTTACTGTAATACCTTATACTGATATGCAGTATTTTAAAGTAGGTCAAATAAACTTCACTGTATGCAAACCACACTATATAATATTTTGGTTTTTGACTTGTGCAGGCCTAAGTTATACTATGTCTGGGGATTCTAGTTTTATCTTACTGTACTGCGAAATATCGACTCCACTTAACGGCGTATACTTTGTACAGCATCATCATTCATAAGAACTAGTAGTTGGATAATCCAGAATTATGAAGTCTTATAGCTAAAAGACGAAAATTGTAGGCATAAGGATGTGTAGAATCTGAAGACCATGACTATTATTTTACATTTCCAAGGAAGAAAATTGTATTCAGAAAGACAAGACCTGAAGTTCATTTTTTCCATCATTTCTGTAATATAATCTGTCTGATAGATAAAAATATTCAGTGTGGATTATCAATTTGCTAATGATATTCAAAGACTTTATCCGTTGATTGTTTATATCTAGTTGGCTCTACACAATCAAACGAGAGCTAATAATGATTTTTATCCTTTTACTTTTATATATCAACGATTAACAAGTATGCTGAATTGGAAAGTCTTCTGGGAGAAACAGATCGTGCACGAGGTATTTATGAATTAGCGATCAACAGGAAATTGCTGGATATGCCGGAATTATTATGGAAAGCATATATTGACTTCGAGATTGAACAGTATGATTGGGAACGTGCTCGGTCACTTTATCGAAGACTGCTAAATCGAACACAACACGTCAAAGTAAGTGTTGTTTTTACTAGTCAAGTCATAAGATAAAGGAATGTCACTATGAAAGATAACCATTTTCAGCAGGTTGTACATTCTAAACAAAGTGAAATACTGTATTCATCTTAGTAGTTCTATTAAGACTAACTACAAAATAAAGTAAGTGGATAATACTGTCGAAATGGGTGGTTGTAAAATCTAAGATGTTTATTTAGTTGTAGCCGAGACCAGTGAGATCAACGTACCCTGTGTATGGCAGGAGTCATCAAATGAGAGTAAAATGGACTGTTCACATATAAAAAAACCCATCTCTAATGTAACTGGTTTCTTAAGGTAAACCTAGAGACATCTTTTATCCTATGTTGTTAACATAATTTCAGTTTCACGTGACCATCATAGTAGTTTAATCTACCTCAATGACGACCCTTATGTTTCAATTAGTTTAAAAGTAAAATGTATCCTACTGTCTGAAACTAAGCCCACACAATTGGATTTCCCACCTGTTTGGTAACCAAAGTAAATAAGTTGTAAGTTCTGAGTCTTAGAGGCAACTTTGAGTGTGATTGTATACATTGGGCGACATAAACTTAATGCAATCAAGTGTACGTTCTATTTTACCAACTGACATAATTGTTAGTGCATCCATCGGGTCCGCATTTCTGTTTAGTTAAAATATTCGGGTTTGAAAGTTGTTCATATTTTATAAACTTCACCTGCTCAGGAATTCGTGAGTTACAAGTATTTCATTTGTATTTTGACAAAAATAGAAATATCTCAGAGCTTAACTAAACGCTGATATTAACAGCATCTAAATAACTGAGATACTCAAAATCATATCACAAGTCCGCACTTCCAGAAAGTAGTGTTACACTGTCTTATTGATAAATTACACTATAAAAGAAGAGAGTGAGGTATTTTATCAGACTACCAATTATCCAGACAAACCTAATTGGATAATTATAGTAAGACTGCTTAAGAATGATTGTGGATTATCAGTACTCCAATTTGGTACCAGATTTTATCGTACATATTAATTTGCTTGTGAGTGATGACTAAATATTTTAAATTGGTTCTTATCGATAGGTATGGTTAAGTCTTGCAAACTTCGAATTGTGTGCCTTGAACAAACTCACAGCCGCTGATTTAGATGATGAAGATTTAGAACATTTGAAAGATGTTGAACTGGACAAAGAAACATTAATACAAGAACATAATGAAAACGAAATCAACAAAGCAGTAGAACGTTCACGTAAAATCTACCAAGAAGCAAATAAAGCTCTGAAATATACAGAGGATAAGGAGCAACGTGTTCGATTACTTGAAGCTTGGAAGGAATTTGAAGTAAGTTACTATATCTTGCTTGACTTTCCGAATAGGATTTTGCCTGTTATATCCATATCAGTTGTTATTTGTATACATATGTAGCAAAAGTGTTTACTTCTAAGTGCTTTTAGATCGTAGATATTTATAGTAACTCATCTTAAAGTTTGAGTTTTGCACTTATTCTCAAGACTTCAATTTTTAGAATGTCCTATCCACAGTCCCCATAATTAAAAAGTAGGTGTATCTTTTTGCTTAATAACAATGTTATTTGATTGACTGGCAGATTTTGAGTACGGTTACCATTTGGAATAAGAATAATTTTACAACTGCATTTATCAAGGGTAATTTTCCTCTTTTATAAAATCCAATGTGTAAGACCATATTGTATACTGAAAAATTTACTTATTATTACTATCGTCGCCGCTGATTAAAAATTGTTGTGCATACCTACATAAAATGTCTAAAGTCCTAGATTTATTACACCGCTCATCTCTTAATACAGTATTTAACACGAGGTTGCTGGAGGAGTGAAGTATTTGTAAATTAGCTGTTGTCTAGAATAATTGCCATATTGGGTTTCATGTTAGTAGCTGACAAAATGCAGAGTCTTCTGGTAGCACTAAGCAACAATGCCAGAATGTTTGGGATGCGCTTCTCTCCCTCTAAATGCAAGTTGTTGCTTCAGGACTGGTCTGCGTCAACACCTGAACTAAGGATAGGGAGTGAAGTAGTCGAACGCGTCGACAACTTCACTTATCTTGGAAGTCTGATCAGCCCTAATGGGTTGGTGTCTGACGAAATCTCAGCACGGATTCGAAAAGCTCGTTTGGCTTTTGCCAACTTACGTCACCTTTGGCGGAGGCGAGATATCCGTCTATCAATTAAAGGACGAGTTTACTGCGCGGCAGTCCGTTCTGTCTTACTTTACGGCAGCGAAACATGGCCTTTAAGAGTAGAAGACACCCGTAAGCTACAAGTATTTGACCACAGATGCCTTAGAAATATTGCTGGCATCTGCTGGGATCACCGGGTAAGTAATAGTGAGGTTAGACGCAGGGTATTAGGGAATGATGGTAAATCAGTTGATGAGGTTATGAATCTTCATCGACTGAGATGGTTGGGCCACGTATTACGTATGCCTGAACACCGATTACCACGACGTGCAATACTAACCGGTGTAGGGGTTGATTGGAAGAAAGTTAGGGGCGGCCAAACCAAAACGTGGCATCAGTGCTTGAAGTCACTAACTTCTAGTCTGAGCCATGTTGGTAGATGCAGACTACTTGGTTGGGGTCCGCGTGACTATCGTAACCAATGGTTGGAGACTCTTGGTGACATGGCTCAGAATCGATCACAATGGCGTCGGTGTATACACTCCCTGTCTTCCCTTAAACTAAGAGATTAAATCACTTCATATCTTTCTTTCCACGAACTAATTCTTCCTTCCTATACTATATCCTTATTGCAACCTTTGACCTAACCACTCCTATGAATCCGGTGTTCATCTTGTTGTGCTAATGAGGTATGGCAACCTGGACCGATGCACATATGTGCCTGGTCCTACGTTGTAGCTGACTGACTGACTGACTAGTAGCTGTCATGATCATTGATATTTACAATACGATTTCTAAAGTCTAACAGATCGTATCTTTTAATTTTGGTTCCTTCCTAAATTTTGCTGCCTTTAGTATGAATATGGAACTGAAAAAACACAGCGAGATGTTGATAAACTACAACCGCAGAAGGTCGTTCGCAGTCGCAGACTTGGTGATGAACGTAGTGGTTGGGAAGAATATATTGAGTATACATTCCCCGATACAGATGCAGAAAAGCCAAATCAAAAATTGCTTACAATGGCCGCTAGATGGGCAGAACAAATGGAGAGGAAAAAAGCAGCTGCAGAGGCCGAAGGTAAAGAGGATAGTGATTCCAGTGAAGAATCTGAAGAAGAAGAAGAAGAAGAGGATGATTTACAAGGTGATGAAGATGATAATCGTATTCCTGAGAGAGAACCCACATGGTTTGACCGGAAAAACAAAGAAGAAATCGAAATCGACGAAGACAGTGATTAAAAAAAAACAGTTTTATATTTTTGTATATTTTCTAAAATCTTGTACAGTCAACTATACATTTATTAAATCCAATAGAAAAATAGCTTGTTTTTCTAATGGTAGCAGAGATATTCACTGGTTTATGACTTTTCATCTGGCGGTAACCAATCGACAGTAACTGAGCACTGTGATCCATTAAAAAAGTACCAGTTTCCATGCGGTGCACCTTTTCGTGTTATAGCCTAAGAAATAGGAGTAAATTAGCAATACTGAAAGTCGATTTGAAAAATACTGCAAATTAGTTAAAAATGCTGGTTGGGGGATAGGGAAGTTAATGAACATCAGGTAGATAAATGAACAATGACAATCGTCAACTCGACTATTTGTACTGCCAACAAAAACATCAATCTGTTCCCCAGGATCCCTTTATACAACATAGTAGTGGGCCTCACTGTGAGACGCAGTCGTTTATTAAGAGTCGCATTCATTTAAGCAACGGAAATGTTTTACTCAGGGAAGATGACGTGATCTTGAAACCCGTAAAACAATTTCAGATGTTTATTTACAATCAGCATTGAAATATTATGCTAATCGGTAATCTAGTTAAATGGGGAAGTCTCTTTGTTAGACTATTATTATTCACGAACCGACTGTTTGTTGATCTTGTCTAGTGGTATAAAGCATAGAAAGTGTTGACCACAGGATCTATGGAACAAGACCGATAGTTAATCTGTGATATAGTTGGATCTTCCATTTACTTAAATTCGTACACTGGTAAGCAAGATATCCTGCATTTGTATTTTTGTAACTTAATAACCCTGTATATGTAGTCGGACATTGCCGTAGCTTCTACCACTGCAATAATGCAAGATAATACTCGGTCTATTCACATGATGCCTCTTGAAGAGATCATGATTTATTGAAGATAATAACAAAGTAGCTTTTACTTACCCTGATTATTTCTTGGGACACAACACCACCAAGTACTGGATTAACAGCTGGGATTGTAGCACCAGAGCAACATCTATGCAGGGTATTAAAAAGATAGCATGCAAAATCTGAGATATAATACTGAGGCGACCTTATAAAGTGACGTTAAAAATATAAACATTATTCGAATTTTATTCCCAACATCTAATCACATCAAAATTCTCTAATGGTTCACCGAGTTTGTTTCGTAACTTAAAAAGTTTTCTCTAACCTACTAGTTTATAGTGATAAGTAGTAGTTGACCGAATTGCGAATTCCCAACGTATTGGGGGTTTTGTGTCCGACATTAATCGACGTATTATTTAGTCTTGCTCGGTACCTGAACCCCATTAATTAAATTTCACAATTTGCACACATAGGTTTAATTTTGAATATTTGACCAAGAAACCCATATTTGTATCGAAGTATTGGGGTTAATAACAATAGTATACGAGGTGGGATAGTGCATGTGCACTGCTGAGGAGTCGCACAGTAGGACGGAACGGCCGACCAATACTTCCAGGTTTTCCATCGTGGTCTAGCTTTAATTGACTCATGATCTCAACTATCAAAATTATTACAGTGTTGGTGTCAAGGTTGCTAAAAATCCATGAAATACATATATGGTCGCTTGTGCTTTTTTGACTGATTTACGAAGTGATGTGATATGGGATCGCATTTCTAGAACTTTTCAGTACAGTTTTCGTGATGGGTAAAAAATGACATGGCTCACAATTGATTACATTGCAATATCAGACGTTATACCTGCGTTTTATCTGAGAACAGTAAGATTATAACTTACTCTAAATCTTCAATGGAAAGAATTGTTTCATCTACATCCAGAATCTTTGATACCTTTTGCCATTGGGATTGTAAATATGGTAAGGTAAATGGTGCTTCTTCGATAGAGCATTGGCTTAAAACTGAAGATTAAATGATGCAAAAATTGTCGAGTATGATATAAGCAACGTAATAAATGGTTGGGAATTAAATATTAACTTTAGGGTTTGCTTTATCACACCAGAAGCGGTTAAAAAATTTTGACAAAAGGCACTTTGCATGCCGTCTTAAAATAAAAGTTTTGGTTAGATAACGAAAAAAGCGTTTGTTGTTTATTTGTTCTTTCATGTTTGTGGAAACAGCCTTGCTACATGAACATATTGAGTAGGACTTTTTTGGAGAAGGCTATAAACAATTGACTGAAACTATGTCTTTAATATTAGTGCATAAATAGAACATTGATCTTTGTCAATAATTTTGCACCGAGTTGCTGCATGCAAATATCGCGCTATCAATTTTGATGGGCCATGTTATCGGTTAGTCAGAAAACAGTTTGTCATTGTACAATGAACACGTATGTGTGAAATAATGTTGGACAACCATCTGATGCTAATCCTTTGGCGGCGAGGGAGGGGGGTGAATAAGAAAATGCCCACAGTTTCGTTTTTAGAGCTTACTATATTGAATCGAATTGCAGTATCCAACTCAGTCTACTTCGAGCAAGAAATCTGTATTATTCACTGAAGAATTAACTGAAACTTCTCCACTGCATAATTTTCAGTTATAAAAGAGATCTTTTATCTAAAAGTCTAATATATCTTGTTCAGTACGAAAACAGTAGTTTCTACATGCTATTAGATACGGCAGTGTATAAAAACTATCAGTGATACCTAGTTGTACAAACAGAAGCAGGTCGAGTTCAAATACGTGACAATCTCTATTTCCATAGATGTTATGGAGCTGAGATATTTGAACATATTATTTTTTAATAGTTGGGATAAATCCTGGTCATGTCATGTCTAATCATGCAAGTCTGTAAAACTTGATGACAGTGTGATAACTAAAGACGATATCTCTACGACACATTAAAATATTAACTATAAGTAATTACAAGCTACTGACAATGTACAAACAAAGGATTAGGTTGAGAAATATGGGTTAAAGCTAATGTGTTGTTATACTTTAAACAATCTTAAAGTCTAATCATAATAGAAGCACGATATTTACTAATGAATGAAGTGAGAATTTAAGCTATTTCAGTAGCTAGGATATAACTGATAATAGCGAAAGATTTAATATAGGCAATATCAATTACATGAAGACTTTTATAAAGTAGTCTTTTTAAACAAAACATACCTTGCATAAGGAAATATCCTTTGGGAATATATTTAGCATGTGATCTATTTTTTAACATGTTAGAAATAAGACATGAACTGTCTAACAGGTGACAATAGTTGAATGTCTGCAACAAAGAGGAAAACACTATGCATAAAGTATACAATGTACATCATTAACTAGGGATGTGTACAAGATTTAGACGGCTTAAATGCTACTTATTAATTACAAAATTTCTCTTTTATGCAACTGGCATAAAGTAAATAAACCTAGGAAAAAAAGTTGCTTCAATAACAGGGTATTAACAATTGTGTAAAAATTCACCACCCATAATTTTCTGTACTTAGAGCACACATGTCTACTAATCCAAGAGTTGCGTGTTTAATTCACCGAGAAGAAAAACCAAGCAATCTTTCCAGTTTTATATAGCCAACGGTACTTCAAAAATCAATCCATACATTCTTGAGAATAAAATTAAGGAGGAGAATATTGAATCGATATTTTCTTATTTTCCCAGTGATTATTGATAAATCCGTGCAATTTTTATTGATTTTCCTTATTTCATTAACTTGTATCATATGCTAGAAGCAATAATTTTTTAAGGAGAAACTGACCTAACGGACTGAATGTTTAAGAGCGTATGGTCGTACACCGCAAGAAGGAATTTTCAGTATTAAAGTTCCATCATATCTTATTAGCCTTTCTTACTTACGAATAATTTTATTAATTTTATGGAGAAAAATACAGGGTGTATTTTGAAAACATTGATATGCAGTAACCATACAACATTTTCTTGTGCTAAAGTGATAATCATACACAATTTCTAGGGGTTGGGATTTGAATAAAAATCACACAGTTTAATTCACAGGGCATTAAATACGGAACTGTTTAGTTGGATCATCACACGTCTAGTTCTGGTTGCACTACATCTCAACCTAGTTTACTTATTAATATTGATAAACATAATTTCAGATTTTGCAGGCGAAACGGTTTATACAGATATATATCAACTTTAAAATTACCTTTTTTACAAGTATCGTCTCTGTATTTGATGGTTCGCTAGCTTTATTTATCTTTTGAATTGAACCAGATGATAATTCTGCCACTGATCTTTTCTTTACTACCACATCTTCACTAAAATAGTCAAGATAACAATAATTACAAACTTATTGAAATTATCATAGGAAGATAATAATAAGAGTAAAAGTGTAGTCATTTTTCAGCAACTTTTAAAAGAAACTCATTACGTAATTTCAGAACCAGTCTCCCATAGTGTTAGCGGGACATAGACTAGGTTAAAGCAAGCTCAATGCACGATTGCTTTGGTGCACGCTGATTGGCCAATTCTTATCCAATCAACACTAGTCGATAGTTGTAGAATACTCTAGAATCTTCTCATGTAAAAACTATAAATACACTGATGTTTTCCCTATTGTGCTTCTGGCTTGCATCTTGCTTCCATCTAACCTTGTTATTTGAAATATAATCTCTTTCCAGTTCAACCGTGTTCTGATTTGAGGTCTTGTCGAGTGAATCGGTGTCCGAGAATACTAAGCAATAGGAATAGCTGGGTCATAACCGTAAGAAAGAGATTATAACACATAGGGAGCGTGGGAGAAAAGGCAGGTTAAAAAGTTATTTGCGAGGATATTAACAGATTTTCATGTAGTTCGATTCGATCAGCAAAACCTTATATTTATCGTACACTTCCAGGGATGAATCAATTAGAATCAAGGCGACATCTAAATTTGCACGAAGTGCAAATGTCACCGAATGGGTTGGTGTCTGACGAAATCTCTGCACGGATTCAGGATCTAGGTGACATGACTCAGAATCGATCACAATGGCGTAGGTGTCTTCCCTTAAACTATGAGATTAAAATTGCTTTATATCTTTCTTTTTAACAACTAATTCTTTATTCCTGTACTATGTCCTTATATGCTATCTTTCTTTTATATATTACCACCAATGGATTAACCACTTCTATGAATTCGGCGTTCATGTTGTTGTGCTAACGAGGTATGGCAACTTGGACCGATGCATATGTATGCCTGGTCCTACATAGCAGCTGACTGAAATGTCAGTCAGTCAGTAACAACGTAGAACTTCGTACGTACGTACATCAGTTCGGGTTGCCACACCACCTTAACACAGAGATGCAGTTGTCGATTCAAATCCCGTAGTGGTAGAGGTAGCAAGAGTATAAGCAGTAATCGGGAAGATTAGGGTTTGGAGATGTTATTTAAAGAGTATAATCCAGTGAAATAAATTTGGAAAGAGGAAAAAAGGGACATGAAGAATTCAGAAGATTAGAATTTGGGAGAACACCTACGCCATTGCAAACGATTTTGAGCCATGTCATTCAGGGTCTCTAACCATCGGTTGCTATCATCTCGTGGTCCCCAACCAGGTAGTCTACACCTACCAACATGGCTCAGTCCACTTTTCAGTGACTTCATGGATTTGTGCCATGATTTGGTCTGGCCACTCCTAGCTTTCTTCCAACCTACTCCTATACCATTGAACATCGCTCGTCGAGGCAGTCGGTCGTTGGGCATACGTAACACGTGTCCCAGCCATCTCAACTGATGAAGTTTCACTACTTCATCAATTGATTTGCCATCCTTATCTAGTACCCGTTTCCTAACAACTGTGTTACTTACTCGATGGTCCCATGATATACGAGCAATGTTTCGAAGACACCTATGATCGAATACTAGTAACCTACGGATATCCTCTACTCTTACCGGCCATGTTTCACTGCCATAAAGTAGGACGGAATGAACTGCTGCGCAGTAAACACGTCCTTTGGTTGATAGACGGATATCTCGCCTACGCCATAAATGACGCGAGTTGGCAAAAGCTAGTCGAGCCTTCTGTATCCGTGCTGAGATTTCGTCACACACCAGACCACAAGGGCTGATGAGACTTCCAAGATAAGTGAAGCGGTCGACACACTCAACTACTTCACTCCCTATCACTAGTTCGGGTGTCGATGTAACCCAATCCTGAAGCAACATTTTGCATTTCGAGGGAGAGAATCGCATCCCGAACATGCTTGTATTGTTGCTTAGAGTGGTCATAAGACTCTGCATTTTGTCAGCGTCTTCACCAAATAAAACTATGTAATCAGCATATTCTAAGTCAACAAGTGAACCTCCCGGTAGAAGTTCAACCCCTGGAAATTTAGATGAGGAGTGTTATCTCTAAAAGTACGTCGACCACAAAGTTGAACAAGAATGGGGAGAGTGGATAGCCCTGACGAACACCACTTGAGGTAATCAATTCTGATGACAGTTCGCCATAAGCTCTCACTCTACCAGTTGTGTTCGAGTAGAAAGCCTTTATAAGGTTAATTTACGTCTGAGGTACTCCTTTCAGTGACAAACACTGCCATAGAACCTCACGATCAACAGAGTCGAATGCCGCCTTAAGGTCGAGAAATACTACCATTGTGGGGCGTCTGAACGTATGTCTGTGTTCTAGAACCTGGCGTAGTGTGAATATCTGATCTATACAACCATGTCCAGGTCGAAAACCAGCCTGATTCTCTCTAGTCTGCTCTTCACGAGTTTTGGTTAGGCGTCGAAGTATTATTGAGGCTAATATTTTAGACAAAAGGACTTTTGTCCTTTCTTATAGACTGGCACAATCAGTGATTGAGACCAGTCAGATGGGATTACGTCCAGTTCCCAAATTCTACCTAAGACCTCAGTTAATCTCATTGCTAATACTGGACCACCATCCTTAAAAATCTCAGGAGTAAACCTGTCAGGGCCTGCTGCTCTCCCTCGTTTCAGATTTCCTATGGCTTTTTCAACTTCGTAAAGGGACGGAGGACTTACATTAACTTGCCATTCAGGTTGACTAGAGATCGTGGGAAACCGAAGTGTGGCTGAAGGCCAGTTGAACTGATCCCTAAAGTGTTCTGCCCATCGATCCAATCTCCTGGATTGAGAATGAATAATATGTCCATCTTTCTCTGAGACTGTTTCGCTAACGGTCGGGTTCCTAATTCCGGTTTCCTTAACGAGTCTGAACAATTGTCTGCTATTACCTATTGCCGCTGCCTTTTCCATCTCTCTTGCTTTCGCCAACCACCACTGTTCGCGATCATTGCGTAGACTTCTTGTCAGCTTGCGCTTAAGCTGACTCCGCTCTTCACTATGTTCAGAGTCAGGTGGAATGAGTTTCCGAGCATCTATCAGTGCGATAGATGCAGCTGAGATCCAGTGTTGCTCCCTAACCTTCTGGTTTACCTTTCTAGCAGATATCACTGCTGTTTCCACAGCTTTTCGGATATCATTCCATGCTGCATCGGGGTGGGCATCACATACATGGCTGCCTAACTGTTTTCCTAGTTGTTCCTGAAATATAATCTTAGCTTGACTATCATTAAGTAGGGCCCTAAGAGGTTTACTTGCAGCATCTTTCCGACGTCCAGTAAGACGCAAGCAAATACGCGCTCGCACTAGAGCATGATCTGAATCTAAGCATGTGCTCCAGAATGAGCGACATTCTTCTATCGAGCCCCTCCATCGGTGGCTGATAGCGATGTGATCTATTTGGGTCCAACGTTGGGACGAATTAGGGGGTCTCCATGTTAAAAGATGTTTTTCCTTATGCTTAAAGTTAGTATTTGCAAGGAACAGGCGGTTATCTGAGCATAGCTGCAACAGACGGTCGCCACTATCTGTTCTTTGGGCCACGACACCATAAGATCCACCTAGGTGTCTTTCCCTATCGCTTGGTTTACCTACTTGAGCATTAAAGTCACCGGCCACTATTACTACATCAGAGAGCCTAGCTTTTCGGAGAAGATCCGAAAGCTTTCTGTAAAACTCATCTTTTGCATCATCTGAGCTGCAATCAGTGTGAGAATAGGCAGAGACGACGAAGAGGCAACGACGAGTATCCCTATCTTTTCGGATTCTACTGTTCCGTTTAGTCGAACAGCGCACAAACGACTGTCTACTGGGATCCGCTCTAAGAGAGCTAGTTCTGCTCTAGGACTCAATGCTATACCTACGCCGGCGAGGCCACGGGAAGCAGAATCAGGGCTTCCAGATACCCGAAGCGTAAATCGAGTCGGTTCTCTATTTTGGCATGGTGAGGTCAAATGAATGACGCTACTCGGATCTTGTATGCGCGTTTCGGAGACGCAGCACACATCGATGGCGCGAGATTCTAAAGTCCTAGCTAAGGAAGCCTGCTGTCCTATTTGGCACAGTGTTCGGACGTTGAAAGCTCCTACGTGTAGTTTAGAGCGTGGTTTCAGGAGACCAGGAATAGCGTTCCACGTACTCAAATCGTCTGCCCTAGCGGTGTGAGGTGATAAAGAGACGTGAGGAGGGTTAGTCATGGAGATAAGAGAGGTATTAGGAGGTGTAGGAAGGATTTGAATGTGACCAACTTGGTCTCGTGTGCTGTTACGGGTATGAGGGCTGATGTCACTTCCCGGCTGCCCACACCGTGGAAGGGTATTTCTTGAGGAACCTGAAAAGGAAATCGGATTAGTGTTGGTCTTGACGACCTGGGAGCGTGACCGCAGAGCCCAAGGGACAACTGCTTGAGGCCGGTCGCGCACGGCCTTTTTGCGGAAGGTTTTTGACGTGTTAGCTCCGTTCTTCAAAGGGCCTTACCGCCGGAGACGGAAATCCGTGAGGTAAGGTGAGGTGTGACATTTTTAGGGTCGATTTTTTCTAACCCCACCCCTCCCTGTGGGAAGGCAGCATCGCTGTCATGCTGGTTGTCCGAGGGAAACACCTTACTGCTGTCACACCCCTCTACAGTCAGCAGTACGACTTCGCCCTCAGACCTTGAGTTGCTGCTTTTAGTCTTACCGTCCACCAATCAACCTGCCTGGCATGGTAGAACCTACAGGAACATATGTTCCAGCCAATATAGCTCGGTTGGGTCATCATGATAGGCAAGCCCAACCACCGCGTCAAGGTAACAGCTTCGGTCGGGTGACTGAAATGTCATCTATAATAAGCAGTACAGATACTTCGTACACTGCTTAAAACATTTAAAGTGACAGCGAGATCTTAATTTTTACCATCACAGAGTAAAAATGATGCTGTTAAACTAATCACATGTTCAATTCTGTCTCTATAGACTCTATACAACAGGCGAATCGATACTATCCTCAAATAATAATCCTTGATCTTGAAACAAAGCTTAATATGCTGGTTTTACATTTTATGAAAAGAACCTCCTGAATTTTTGAGCAGAACTCACTCATTCATATGGCTACAGAGCATTCTCGCATTATAGCTGATATAATTTTGTAGTGAAAACCTTAACCCTCGACCTCTAGTCCTGACCCTGATCAAGGACAGAAAATATGGGTTTTTTGAAAATCAATTTGGGTCCGTATATTCTGGCTCAGGAAGGCACATAAACTATAGTCCATAAGAACGGATTTGTGAACGTTTATCTTTTGATTTACAGGCAGAGGAACTTATCAAAGACTTTAATAGATTCATTAATTATGTAAAATTTGAGTAAAGCCAAAATAATTGAGACATAATAAGATGAATTCACCATTTTTCGTGGTTTCTCATCAGCTGCTTACAACCATATGTATATTAAAACGTAACATTGATATATGGTATAATATGAAACAAACAACATTGATGATGGCTTTTTCATTCACTTAATTCTCTAAACTTGTACCAACTCTTCAAATCCTGTCTACTTATTATGTAACCTATCTCATCAATTTCTAATTCTAGACAACTACCACCTCAGTACTCCAAATCTTCTATATCTATTTTCAAGTGATTTGAACTATATGTAAACTATTGAAAACTTCTATAAGTATCACAATCCATCTTATCTGTTTCCAAACTTCATTTAATTACTGCCTTACCGACCCCCCTGTTTTTCGAATTCAATATATACACATAGTTGTGAGCAGCTGACGAGAAACCACGAAATATGATGAATTCATCTTATTTTGCCTCAATTTTCGCTTTGGCTTTATTCGAATTCGAAAAGGGAATCAATTGTATGTAAAATATGTTTACACTTAGCAATATTAGTGTTTTATTTTCAATAAACTATCCATCTACAAAGGCTGTTTTTAGTTGACTAGGAACTAGCTGAAAATTTGTCGTTGTTTTAGGCTCGTTCCTATACTACACTTCTACAGACATTTTAATAATTAGTGAAATATCCTTGACATGATGAGTGAAATTCAAGTACTTCCTGACAATCCATTGTTAACAGCTAGTCTGAGCATAACCAGAGAGAGAGGAGTTTTCGTTAACCAGTTTATTAACAAATGTTCGTCTCAACCTACGTTAATAAGTGATTGATGTAATTTCTAAATTTATATAAGCTCCATAGGAATAAAAAATAATTAATAGATTTCAATTATCATTCACTAATGACGTTGATTGAGAATTAATGGAGCTCGAAATGGCACCGTTAGAAGCAAGGTATTTCATTAATCATATATAGAGAGGATTACTGAATAGAGTGAATTTGAGTAATAGTGACCACTGTAAATGAATTCAAACTCTCTATAGATAGCTATCAATTGTTTGATATAACGCAAAATAGTTGCGGTGAAACATCTGTTAGATGTTTGAGACTTGAAAGGTTTTTGTAAATTGAAGGCAGTTAATACGATAGTTATCAGGGTTCCGGCAAAATAAACGACCATTGGCTAGGCACTGGTGTGACTTCAAAATAATCGAAGATTAGAAAGAAAAAATCTAGTGAGAGGATACACCTACATTAGCAGAATAAAAGTTACCTTTTTTATATAGTAATTCCTAACTTAGCTAAGAAATGTGCATTATATAACAATGAATACCACGTTTTCGTGAAATAATGTAGGAGTTTTGCATGACGGCAATATCAAAAAGTTTCCAATCCCTAGAGTTGTTTATAATAGATATTAGTTCGTAAAAATTACTTCCATGGACGGAGAGTGCGAATAGTAACAACTTAAAAATTAATAGTATTCCTTTGTTATCGACGGTTTTTCAGAGTAAAAATGGCAAACATAACTTTCAATTAGATAGTTAGGACCTGTTAGTTGTACTTTTCGAGCTGTAATTAGCAATCTCAGTGGTCTACATAAACCTACTTCACGAAAACGTACCGAAGATGTAATTACTATGACACAAATATAAACTGGCGTGATACCAGCACTGGTTTAGCAGTTCAAAGTTTAGGATCCAATCCCCGATGTATTTTTCTTTTACTTTACTTGAATGACAACCTAGCCTTCCGACTTCTTGGAAGATTTAGCTTGTGCAAACAGAACTTTCTTCTATGTAATTCCAGTTACGCCTGACAAATGACTTAGTGCCCCATGCCATGGTACGGCCGATAGTGGAAAGTCAGCTCATCCTCTCGAAATGCTCTCACATGGCCACGCGTATACAGCCACTGTCAAGGAAGTCCTACTCACTGCCTTCTCGCGAAAGGAAGGGTTACGGAATTCAAAGGACAGAAAGCGAACTTCTGGTGATTTGATCGGGTTGGTGGATATGGAGAACCTTCCTAGGGGAGTTGGAAAACACTGACTCCAAATTAATGATGCGCTTGGGTTCCAGAGTCCTGGAGGAATAAATGGTATATGAACCTATTGTTGGTCTCCGTCTACCATGGGAATGCATCTCCTAATGTTGCTCCACTGCCTTGTGGATTAGACATCTGAATGAAAGACTCAGAGAGTGGCCCTTAAGGAAACCATATGCTTCGGTTTGGGCGATCGGGTAGTATTCCAGCCCTTAAACAAATCGAATGACAAAGTGTGGCGCATATGTATTTGGTACTTTCTCGTGCCATTGTTTACGCGTTTAAATAAATGACTCATTACAGCATATAAATACTGACTCGAAATATGTAGTACTTACGACAAACATTCATGTGCGCCGAGATCTATGAACGCGAGTCCAAACAATCCAGTTACTGATGCACATATTATATATGGTCTTGTATCTATGTCCATACTACTCACAATGCCACATATAGTTGACCATTGTTTAAAATGAACGCTTGAACATTCGGTTATAAGGATGATCAAATTATATTCTTGAAATTTATCTTTTAGATCATCTCCCAGCTCAGAAGATTGTACTTTAACCATTGGATTCAGGCTTTGAGTACGACCAATAACCGCGTCGGCACGCTAAAAAATGTATAAGTTATCGTACTTACGTTTAGTCCAACAGAATCACGTGGTATAAGGAAGTTGTTTTCCAAATCGTCATTAGTGACTTGTTGACCATCTATAATTGTGAGGCTGGAGATACCCGCCAGAACAATATTTTTAGCTATTTCTGCAGCCAATGCATTCATACCAAGTAATAAAACTTTAGACTGTTTGAGTCGATTTTGTGATTCTATGCCCCATAGTCTTATTTGTCTGTCATACAATTCAGCTTCTTCTTCTGTTATTAGATTGTTGGAGAGATTATCGGATACCATTTTTCCAAAATTAGTTAGTTAATTGGTACAATTTCCGAACTAGACCATATAATGAATCCAGAGTACTATGAATTCTAGTATTAAAAAAGGTCAGTAAGTTTAACGTACATGTTGAAACAAAAGAAAAGTAGTTAGATAAAAAATGCTGTGAGCAGAAAACTAGTTGGCAAATACAATTATTTGGTGGTATTCTAAGTCTGAGTATAATTGCTAGAGATCTAAGATTGCTTAATCATAAGCAAAGTAGAACCTGGTCAATATGCACCAGAGTTCTCACGAATTTTATCATGCAGTCACATTTTGACAAAATTAAACGAAAGTAGTCGGAGTATCAAACACATGCATTACTAGAATTACTAACCGAGTTTACAAGGTTATGTAACAGTATATGAGTTATTGAAATCAGAGTTGACTACAAAGTAAAATTCTCCACAAAACCCATTCTGATAATAATCAACTCCTCATTAGTGACTGACTTCAAGAAAAACTCCTGGAGTTCTAGTGAGAAGCCGTTACCAGTGGAGTTCAACCGGTCTGTTGTGAGATAACAACTCACTGAAGACAATGGTGTACGGTGGCGCAACTTCGTGGATTGGTTGAAGTTAGACATTAACACCGTTGGATGCCGGCTCAGTGGTCTAAAAAGTCAGTGTTTTAGCCAAATATATTGTACATTATTCGAATTACATTCGACTTCTCAGAGTTAGGGCTCTAACCTAGATGTTTCTTTGAGTACTGAGTGTGCAAATGATACAGTTTTGGTATATAAAAAGTGAAGGGTTTGAGCGCAGGCGAAACATTAAAAAAAGGATTTTGTGAGCGCTTTAGATGATACTAAGGGTTATTTTGCTTCAATTAGTTTAAGAATATGCAAATAAATGATTAAATTGACCACAAATTCCAGAAGTTGACATATCTTCACATATTGACAACCAAAGTAATCCCAAAATAAGGTTGCTTAGTTTTAATAACTCCTGCCACTAAGTATTTTCTGATATTCTAAAACCTATCTAGGAGCAGGTGTGTTGGACAGCACTATACACTAAGGTAAAATTTTGGTTACATAGGAGACGCCAGTAACCACCTGAAGATGTTTCCGAAGAACTGGTAGCATTACGTAACCAAAAGGTTTGGAATGTTAAAATCAAGTGTACGTTTCCAGGGAGGAAGTTAATGAGATAACTGTAGATCTAAACTCCCTAAGTTGAATGTAATGTATTATTGAAGTCACACCACAAACTACTTAAAGGTTGATGGTGTTAAAAACACGTCTAGAGGTTGTTCTAAGGCTGAGAATATCATATTAGAGAGAAAATCTAACGAGTAAACTCTGTGATGTATTTACACTTGACATAAAAAGACGTTCTCATCGCCAAGATAACTGATTACTCATAACAGTTAGGCTGCAACTACCCAATCTCACTATTATGGGGAAGCTTTGAGGGAAAATCCCGAAGTGTTATAAAGTTCTAGGGAAATGTTGTGAAAAACCCAGTTTCCCCAAAACTTTAGGGATTTTCCCCAAACCTGGGGAAATGTTGGTGTTTTTGTACCATTTTCGCAAAATTTTCTATTGCGACTTCAAAAGTTACTTAAATCGAACAAAACTTTAACCAAAATAGAGAGACTGGGCAGTATAAATTAATTTAGCACGTGATACAGATTTACATTTGTTAAGACCTACTACACAGACTATCACGATGAAACCGCAGCCACATACACTGAAAGAATGAAAATGATGAAATGAACGAAACAGAGGACAATGCAGCTCGCCCCCAGTTTTAAACAATGATTAGAATACACTTAATTGTGGTCAATCAGAGGAATTTCTCTGATTTGAGTACCAAGGTCATGCGGTAGCACATTCAAATGGTTCAAATGGTTCAAATGGTTGTGGACGGAATAGAAGAAGCTTTCGCTTAACAGGCTTCCGTGTCTAGTAGCAGGAGATCACCAAATCCTCCAGGCAGGAACCTAGGTATGTTAACAATAAAAGAGGAAAAGAAATTGGTAAATCATAGTGTGATGCTGTCCTTGGTCCTTAAGAATAGGTCAAGTTGCCTCTTGAAGGACTCTTGAGAAGTCGCTTGGACAAGCTCGGCCGGCAGCGAATTTCAGCTTTTGACAACTCTTAAGGAGTAGAAGTTGTGTCTACATTCCGTCTTGCTATGTTGTGTTTCCAGTGAGCGCTTCAATACTTAAAACCTGTGGAACAAACCGTCTAAAAGCATTGTCTTTCTACGTCTACTTGCTTCAATGATGGAAAATGATTCGTATTTACATTTTTTTTTTAAATTCAGCAATCTGGCGTACGAAACGCGCGTGTTTCAAAAAGGGCAGTGATGTTGTACTTGTTGTGATTATCCTTGATTTTGTGTAATTGCTGCATCAAAATCATTCTTGGCCTATATCAAAGTACCTTAGTTAAGGTTTGAAATCTTGCTGAAGTTTGTCTTGTGGTAGCCTTTTACTCATTGACTGACACTTGTGTTCATACTGTGATCATATTGTATATTACATCTTACTCTAACTAAAATGGTTGGTAGTACTCACAAATGTGAACAACCAAACTGTTTGTTTCCTGTGGAGGAAGTAATGCAGAGTGATGAATGCAAAAAGAGGTTCCATAAGGTGTGCATCCGTTTAAGTCCCACTGCATACAAAAGATGTTCGAAGCCTAACTCACATTGGCTTTGTATGTTTTTCTGTGCAAATAAGACGTTACTAATACAAGATGCTATGAGCCTATTGGCTTTGGCCTGTAAGAAGAACGATCGTGCATGCGCTGATAACACGAGCACTGACAGTGACGAATGTGTCAGTGTAGTACGTGCTGTTACGAGAGGCCTCAAACAACCGACTTTGACTGACGGAAAAGTGAAATCTCCGTTAACATTAACGACGAGGGTAGTACCACCTGTCACTGGTATTGGTAAACATGCACCCCTAGTGGAAACTGAAGATCTGGATAAAACTGTTGCTGCTCCAAATAGTCCTGAGGGGTGAAAAATGGACTACAGTATGCAGAAAACGAAAAGAAAAGAAAGAAGCTGTAAGCAGTACGCAGGTGGTTAGCAAGTCACTGGTGGACCCCACTGTGAGTCACTAAATGCACTACCAAAATCTGATGCACTGCCAAAATCTGATAGTAAGAGAGAAGCCCACCCTGGCGTGACTGAGAAGAAGAATCTAATCTCACCGAATATTATTGTGAGCAAACTGCTGGAGTCAAACAACCCTGATCCCAAAGTTAGACACGCGCATGATTTAGAGTAGCTGGGAGAATATATTCGTAGTATCTTACCAAGTAAATAACTGGTTAGAATAGACAAGAGGACTGAGGAAAATGTTGAACCCCGACCATGTGGACTCCTTAACGTAATCCTGGGATCGGAGAAGCAACAAGATCTCCTGTTAAGTAGCGCTCGTTGTCACTACAACTACGATATACGGGTTAGACCTTATATGTCTCTGGAAGAGAGAATAAAAAGGAAGGAAGTATTAGCTGAACCAGAAACCCGTCGGCAAAACGATGAAGAAAATCTCCGGCTAGTGTATTTTCGGATACTCAGGTCTTGGAAGCGAATGCTACCAAGGACTGTGTGGATAGGCCGTTCTACTTGGGAGATTTTTATGTCAATGCTCGTAGTCTAAGAAATAGGTTCTATGAACTAAAAGCATTAGTGGGCAGATTAAGGCCACTCATTGTAGCAGTGACAGAAACTTGGTTAGTCCAAGACTTATACATTACTCCAGAATTATTCAGATAACATTATTTAAGGAGTGATAGACATGGATGTAGAAAAGGAGGTGGCGTCCTGTTATATATAGCCAATAATATAAACATCCGCTTCTCTGCTAAAGAATCCCATGATAGCGGTACTTGTGAAGTCATTAGCTGTAAATTGGCTATCAGATTTAGTACATTTATGCTCGGTGTTATCTATCGCAGCCCGATCTGGTTGAAAAAGGTGGAGAGGTGGTCAGTGTATGACATGGTGGCTGGCTTCTGTTGGACCTTCACGACTTCATGGCTGGGGTCCGAGAGATGGTGCAACACAGTGGCTAGAGACGTTACAAGATATAGCTCAGTACAGAAACCAGTGGAGTACTTGTTGTAACCTTATTTTACTTTCTGTATAAAAGCTGACAAGTAACGACACAAAAAATCCGCGACAATATGAAACACGTACGCGAAAACAGTTTCAGTTTGGAAAGGACAGGAGGCCTGAGGGCCTGTGTTAGTTTTGGTAATGGTGGTCCCTCAGTTGATCCAAATTTCTTTTGAAAGAGTAGACGGATGGAGCCTCAAATACGTGCTGAGGTAATGAATTACACTCGTTGGTGATTCGATGAGAAAGTCGATAGTCAGCTGACAAGTAATCTGTCCTGGGCTTGCGAACGTTTTTGGAGTGTCCTCATAAATTCTCTGTTTTGCAAAGACTTGAAAAATGAGGGCATGTCAGGTGCAAATTTATTACTAAGTAACTTGAAAACTGTAATCAAGTCGCCCAAAGTTCTTCGTTATGATAACGCGAATAGGTTTGACTTTGCCTGTCGAGCATCATACGGGAGCTTCGCCATCCATGAATCAGCTCAGTTGCTGTTCCCTGAAACTTTTCCGAAAGTCCACTGTCTTTTGTCAAGCAGGGGCTAACCGCTTGTATGCAGTACTCAAGTTTAGGACGTACGAACTCTGTATACAAAAGTCAAAAACGTCGTAGCGTTGACATGACTAAAAGTGTTTTAATCTTTGATCATATCAACATAACCTAACTACTGATGTCATTTTTACGTTAGAGAAATTAATCAACTTTATGGATAAAATAAAAGATTGCATTTAGATAAATAAGTGGTGTCCAGTCCTATGTTAAGCCCACACAGGTTATTCTAGAGATTTATTCATTTTTTCCAAGTCGTACTGTGACCTTTTTAATTGCTCACTTATTAGCATTTACTGTTTTTATACGAGCGTATGTGTGTTAGGTGCTTACCTTATT